CATTTTCGGTTTAGACAAAACTTTACTCTCCTGTAACATGATCTTGTCAATTGTATTTATGGGGAACACAAGAAGCGAATACTTTGTAATTTCATTTTTTATTTACATTGAACTCACTGTATTTCTCAAAGTATAATAAACGAAATACATGCATGAAAACAGATTTTGGATGAATTGCCACTTTGCTTTTCGTCTTTCAAGAGTTGCCTTATTTCGAAGGAAACTGGTGTATGATGTGTGTTTGTTTGCACTGTTCGATTTGCCTGTTGGGTCGCGGACTGGGTTTGGCCGCCTTTTTCGCCTTCCTTGGTTCCGTGGTTATGCAGTCCTATCCTACGAATAGGACCTTTCCCTTACCAATGGCACAACGGAGGGTTGGGTCGATGCTTTCTTTGAAATCTTTCTTCCTATTATTCCATAAGTCTTCTTTACTACCATAGTAACCTACGTATCATGTCTGTGTCACAATTTGCAACGGTCTGAGAACCGACCACGGTCAGTACGATTTAGACTGCAAGTTGCTTTTCTATCATCAGCCTTCTGTTTTGCTAAGCCTTAAGAAAAACACGTCAAATTATGTCGATTCTGCTTCGCAGCTTCGAAATTCTTCAAACCTTCTTCCTCTTTCTGATCCATCGCCCACAATTCGAGTGATCACTTGACAGCACAGATCCACATTCTTCTCAGCACATTTTGTGGCACATTTACGCCGTTTGCACAGTTGTAAGGACCTTTGTGAATGGTTTGAAATTCCTTCCTGATCTGTGGTGTCCCACAGCATTGACTTTCCTCAGTCCCGTCACATTCGGATGTAATAACAATTTGTGTCGTGGCAAAATTTATTCTCCTCAGGTGAAACAAGTTGGTCTCACTTTAAGCCACACGAGATCCCTATCATCGTGCTTACACAAGATGTGTTGAATTACCAAATAACCCTGACTCAGTGTTTGCTGTAAGTTAGGTAGATTGTAGATCTGTGGATGAAATGGTGATTGCATGATTGCGGGCCTTCTTTCATGCATTCAAAGGAAAACAACAGCAGTGTCAGTCGTGCCACTGCATACCTAAGTCAAACTGTTAATCATGCACTGTCATGGGATTAAGGTTAGTGGGATGGAGGTGGGAAGATGGGAGTAGGTAAGGGCGTAAGGTGGTGTCCCCCTCTCACACTGGTTCATACATAACGGTGAGAATGTGATCACAGTCCATTTCATTTCGTCCGCCTCATCTCCTCTCCCCTCCTCACAGTATCGACATCTGCACTAGACCAAATCCTGCTCCTGTGGACTGCGTGGTAGACATTGCCTTCGCGCCACCCTCCCAACTCGCTGATTACGACAACCACTGAAGGGCACAAGAAGGAAGCACTTATTTCTGAGTCATAGGGGAGAGGACATGGACAAGGTGATTTCAATTTCGAAGCTACCACTCCCTCCTCGTCCGTGGCGTGACTTCTTGAGCAAGGAAGGACCAAGTGGAGATAGTAATTACGATGGCAGTGCAGACAGCCGAATGGACAATGTGCCTTTGCTTCGGATCCTCCTCAACACCCGTCTCGCGTTTCTTCATTTCAATCAACGCCTCTGCCTCCTCTTTCGCCTTCCTAGACCAGCGTAGATGCGGCTTCAACTCCCCACCTTCAGCCAACCACTCCGTCTTGCCTTCACCACTCAAGATTGTCACCTTGGGAGCATCCAAGTCGGGGTGGAAGGGAGCATGTTGGTGGGAGGAGATGAGTCATCGAGTCCACAAAGAGGCGACAGCTGCATCGTCGTGAGCTGAATCGAAGTTTCGCAGTTCTACCCATCCGAATAGGTGTAGGTCATTTTTGGGATTAGAAATGGGAAAGATCTAACCAGCATTTTGCAAGCATTATCCTTACTTTGCGAGCAGTCAGTAGGAATTGGACATAGAAGGAGGCAAATTTGCATATTTCGCTCATCTACTCAATGCACTTGACTAATGACTGTGTACCTATCCTAATTTGATGCATTTTAATATAATGAATAAGAATATGATGGCAGCTAAGGCGGTTAGGTAATTGATGGGGAGCACATCATCACGCCTTTGCTCCTTTGCCATCAGAAGT